ATAATTTTGTGCCATTGTTTTTAGTCATTTGTTCATCCAGTGCATGTAAAAATAACTTCACATTTTATATTCCGGCGTGAACAACGGTGTCAGGCCTGACGTGTTAACGGTGTTTTTACCTACCCACTATTTTACCCAATTTTAAATACCCAATATTTAAGGGGTTACAGCTTCAAATAAACAGATAAATTTATTATAAGTTAAATCTACGTATTATATAATGCATACTACAAGGAAAATAAATAAATATGAATGTTTATAATAACAAGCAAAATGAAATTTATACATTTAATAAAAAAAATATGTCAATTGCTATAAATAGAATAAATACATTTAAAAATTCGATTGAGAAAGGGTTACAAGTGAGAAATTTCCTAACACGTTTTCCGCTACGTTTGTTCCATTTTGAAATATATAAAAGACATGTATAGAGAAAAAGTACATAGAATGGAAATGTGTTAATCGTGGTACTAAATCTAACTAACCTGACCTATAATTAAGTGTGTAACCGAGACCTCTTGCTAATCGATTCAATTGCTGCTCCTAGATCTCAGCAGTTTAAGCAGTTTCAGCAACTCATGTGAAACAATATGCGACGATAATTTCAATATAGTTGTAAATTACGAGTGGCAAAGGTGTCAAGAGGCGAATTCCCACAACACGCAACATTAATTAACACTAATTATGTTACACTTAATTTTAAGCGGAAAAGCATTTTTAAAATTAAATTTTTACCGAAGTTTTGCTGAACTATTAATTGAGGTATACAATATATTATCGGCATAACTAACTTATTTAAATATCAATTGGAATATAAAATATATTGTAGATGTAACTAATTTATTTCAACCTTTCCTTCGATTTTCACAGATAACGAACACTCGTCTGTCCTCGATATCGTCTAGGCTATTTTCGACAAGATGACTGTCCGAAGTACTCAAAGCTCTTCTAATAAATGAACCCTTCGTCGCATTCGTCAATTTCTGTTCTTAATACTCTACTTACACAAGTCCCTGTACTGAAAGCCACATTAAGATTTTTGTAGGTTCTAATTAGAACATCATTAATACTAATCACATCAGAACATATAAAATAATATTAATATATTATATAATTACATAAATATTATTGACTTTCATATTTTGGAATTTTTACCAGACATTAGTTGAATTACGTTATGTACACGTAAATAATTATTTCTCCTTATTCCTTAAAAACTGATTACAAATTACTCATGGAGTTTGCGAACTCATCAATCTAATTTATTTCGAAATTTTGTTCTTCGGCGTAATGCCTACAAAATTTTTCGTTAATTCTGTTTCTGTAGGCCTGGAAATTGTCTTATGCCTTAGGCACTGTGTCTACAGTGCCTAGCAAATAAAGCGACTTTACTTACATTGCACATTCCTTTTGTGCTTGTATTATCTCTTTTAACACGAACTTTAAAATGATAAACAGCTTATAGGTATATAAACTTCTCCTCGTAACTCTTTCTTCTCTTTCTTTTCGTGGTATACATTGTATTTAAGCTAATAAATGGCCATATTTCTTATTGGTTTAATTAGAGACAATATTTTGTGATAATTCGAATCATTAGAAACAAAATTGATTCAACAGATTATTAGGCAAGATATAAATGGTTAGTGTCAGATATATTTATATCCGACTTAATGTAATAATGAATTAATATTATCAGATCACTTATAGTCAGTCAGAAAAATTTATATATACCTGTTAAACTTTAAATATTAAAGGAGAGAGATTGTGACATTTTACGTACATTATCGATTTAATAATAAATATTATTCAACTTATTTTATAATTAATTAAATAATTAACTATTTAATGATTAAAATTAATAATAAAGAGACATAGAATAATGAAACAGACTTTCCAATTATTAGAGATACATTAATGGAAACAAAACTTTTAGTTATAAGTATTATAATCATATATTTTATTGATTTTAATATACGTATTCATAATAATAGTCAAGTTCTCAGTTTATTAATATAATCTTAGAAATAAATGGAAGAAACATCGTTAACTTTTCAAAATCTGTCTAATATTAACTAAGAAAAGAACGAATGTCTATAAGATACCAAAAGCCCATTCTTTTACATCGAACACATGAAATTGATGTCAATTATGAATATACAATTGTGACGAATTGTTAGTCCTCAAAATATCACTTTCACAGCGAGATTTAAATTAGAAAATAAATGAACAATAAACAAATGGTAGAATGCAATAACAACAGTAATACCAGGGATAACCATAAAAATTAAGAAGACCAACAGAAACGTTTACGCGAAATATTCTTTAAACGCTAATAAACCATCACTTTTTTCTCCTAGAGGTTGAAACTAAAATTCCGGACGTTTAAACACATTTTACTGTCACAGATAAGACAACAATGGATTGAAATCGTCAACTGAAAGATTAAACGTTTATGAAAACAATAGACATCATCGGACATAGGAATCAACTTGAAAATATGACTCAATGCAGCGTCAAAAGTGAAACAGCACAGAAGCTTCGATGTCAATAAACAAAGAATTAAATTCAGCGGCGCCAGAAGCTACCGAGGAGATCATAAACGAAGTTGAACACAGAAATATTAAGTATCATGGTGGACGGCACAAGTTGCTGAGAGTTCGGTTTGCACACGCCAGTTTTCATTTGCTACAGCTCATTTAACCAGTTAACTGCGTTTCACGAGTATACACGTAATTTTAAAGCTTGAAATGGTACTAATTCTTTCAACGACGAATTCTTCATTTTTTTCAGATAAACGTGTATTTTATTTTTCAATAAAATGTACCATAGATACATTCGTCCTACGTTTGACGAGCACACACTTCATTTTTTAAATTTTATTCTGCGGAAAACGAGAGATTGTTCAAACTAAATTCCACAGTTAACAGGTTAATAAGTCCATCTACGATAATGTTTACCTGGATACTGATACCATACAAGTTTTCGAAAATCGGGTAGCTAAACCATTCCCTTCCTATGCACTGTAAATAAAATTACAGTAATTTTTCTTCCTGCACAATGAAACTGTTTGAAGACTTTTTCGAGTACGAACACTATGTATACAGCACGTTTTAGAGCAGTCTACTCGTACAAAAGGACGAAAAATGTCGATCGGAGCTGCTGCAAAGTGGATGGAAAGGCCAAAAAAAAAACGTTCATAAGCAAATTGAGTGAAGCGATATAAAAGGGACCATAACCGTCGATAACCTTTTAGAACGTGGTGCGACGCGAAAAACAAGAGATGAGGGGTATAAACTGATGGAGAATATGATTATGATAAACCCTCGCTGTTGTTATATTAAACACGTTTCACGTCTAAGAAGAAGTACATGTTTACAATGTGAGGACATTCTTATATGTTTGTCTTCTCACAATATTAAATTTCAAAGCATAATAAAGAAACGATGTAAATGAAATAAGTATATAAATATATAATGAAACAAGAACTCCTTGGGAATACAAAAAATATTGAGTTAATTACTGATGAGATTATAATAACAGTTGCTATTATTAATTATGCTTCGCTGACTATGAAACTTGTACAAGTGTCTGTTCACAGATGTATTTCCAAGCAAGGATTTAAGATCTTAGCACTATCTATAAATGATAAAAATTGATAGGAAAGGGACAAAAATCAACTGAACGAAACATTGAAATATCGAAGCCATTTCCATACAAAATGAAAGACAAACAAATGATATCAAAGTATCACTGAACTAGCTTTCATAATTAAATTTCATTGAAAACGTATTAAAACGTACATATAAAACATAAAATTCGATCTCCACCAGAAGAATATGTTGACAGATTAATGGATAATATTCTTAGAAGACGTAAAGTCATTATAAACAACAACCGAGATTACACGACATATTCACATGGATGAATCGCGGAAGAAAAGTCAAATTGCCTGACTTCTTAAAAATTTGTACGATAACAGTATTTAGATAAAAGTATTTCCACTCTACATTCCTGGTAGACAAACTATAAGCAGCAGCTTCGTCTTTGCTGATTACCCTAGGAACACTTACAGCGAAAAAGCGTGCCAGTGATTCGGTCCAGAGACAACAAAGAGGGCTGGCTCGGCGAAAAAAAAATTCGCGAGTCCGTTAATGTCTGTTTAAGAAAGTCGAGTCATTTAGAAAAAGATCCAAGCTTGGTAATCGAGACACAGCGTTACCGCGAACACCGGAGAAAATTGGAAAGATAATACTTCACGCTGAGAATGCCGGGAAAGGATCGATCGGCTCGCACGCGTTTTGAGAGATACGCAGGAAATAGTTTCTATCGGTTAGGTGAAACAAAAATCATAGCGAAACGGAGGATCAACATTTTGAAACAATGAGTCCGGTCAACTGACTCGAACGGAATAAAAAAAAGAAAGCTGAAACGATGCCCGCCACAAAGAAGAACTGTTGACGAATCCTCACCGTTACTGAACGGGAAAAAGAACGTTTTCAACGAGTGACGACCCGTGAAGTCCAGGGCAGTTCCGACTAATGTGCGCCTGAATGAACGTAGATGTCAACGGCAAAAGAGGGAGAATGTTTCCTGGCTGCACGCTAGGAAATGTCGCCGAGAGGCAACGAACGATTCTCCAGTGAACCATTTACAGAAAAAACAAGGCTATCATTGGAGTTTGGCTTATGTAGACGATCACACGCTGAGACTATAAAAGAAGCAACATTTCATCCCGATTCAGGGATACTTGAAAGGCTACGAGATTACACGAAATTAGTAGCAGAACAGATACAGCTTCATCAAATTAAGCAACAAAATGTCTCGCTAAACATTCAAGACCACAAGATGAAGCAGGTTAAAGAGCTAGCACTCGATCGTTCGCCAAAGCCGCGAATGTGTAACGGCAGCATAGATATAAACGATGCAGGAATAACGAAGAATCAGCGTTCTTAAGGGAGCTTAGGAAACCGTAGAAGCTCCGAACGTTGGAATTCCTTGGCGGCCACGGGAAACGAAACGAACCGAACCCTCAGAATCTCGGTTTATTTTGCTATACGCGAAACCAAGGAGAAGATTGCACGAAGTTGGGAAAAGAGAAACAAAGTTAGGGGTTGGTTTCAAGGGCTGAATGGGTTACAACGTCGAGGAAAACGTTACTCACGGCGATTGTCGGTCGGCTGCTAGCTGCGAAACGGGGGTTGCTCTCCTCTCCTGGCTGGTTCCTCGCCGCGGTGGAGTTAGGCGAACCCAGTCGATGCGAAAACAGATGTAATTATCTCTTGGTGAGGTAGGGAAACACGGACGTCGCGTTTTACAAGCGCATCGTTATACGCCCTGCGACATCGACGACGACGTAGACGGTGGAAAATCTATCGGTGGCACGGTCTCTCGAGGTGGGACACGAGTGCGCCTGACCGCTGGCGAAGCCACGAACATGGCCGATCCGACGAAATCGATAAAACACGTTACGTTTTCCGCCGTTTCGACGGAGCCGACGCTCTGCGCCGTCCGCCCCCGTTCGTCCGATGCGATGGCCGACGCGTGCGCCCCGGCGCCGGCACCACGGACGCCGGAGATCACCATCGTGCCCGACGTCACACTCGACCGCGGACGTTTAACGGAACTCACCCCTTTGACGTACGTATCCCGATCTCCGAGCGATCTCAGTCAGAAACTGGCGAAATTTGTCGAAGGAACGGCTCGAATGGCATTCAACCCCTTAACGCTAGGACTACCGACCAGCTGAATTGACTTTTTCAAATTCTTCTGTAGGAACTCTTCTGAATGTGTCCATTGAGATATCGATTGACTTATCATTCAGTTTGCATGCTATTAAATCCATTTCTTTGATGACTTCTCTGAGAAGTTTTTATATAAATAATTGGTCATTGCGAAAGTAGAATTTGGGAATAGGTCGGTTTGACCCATTTGGTAGTATAGTGTGAACGATCAAACCTAGAACACATCCCGGACATCTCGGATTCAGGAAAACAGTATCGAACTTGTTCGAGTTCGATGGTATGGGTTACTTTCTTTATATGAATGAAAAGCTATTGTTACAAGGAATCGAACGGTAGCGATTTTATTTTGACAATTAAATGGGAATAAGTTTGTTGGTTGACTTGAATATCGTGAATAATATACATATGCACAGGGGAAACTTGTGCGTTGAAGGGTTAACACGTTCAGTGCCGCCTATACAAATTGATGGCAATTTTTAACTTACGGGTGCCAATTTTCGTGAGAAAATATATTTTTGTGTGGCATGAAAAACGTATAAAAGTATATACAATATATAAAAATTACTAAAAAAGTTACAGAATATCAGGAGACTTCCTGTTGCTGAATATGTTAAAATTAGAACTATCAAACAGATCAAAATGACCCATTTCAGAATTTTTATTTTACAGATATTAAAATTATAACAGAGTCTTCTTGAAGTTATGTAAAATTAATTGTGTAAATACTCGTAGAGACATGGCAATATAAATTTTTTCGAATCACAAGAAATGCACATTTTCAGTTTTTATAAAAAAATTATAAATGAGTAACCCTAATTGCTCAACAGTTCTTGTGTTAATATTAAACGCTATATGATAGAAATGAAATGCTACCTTAAAGTATGCAACATTACGGCAAATAAAATCTTTTTGTTTCAGTACTCTGTAATACAAAATGAAACATTTTCGATCAAGTAAATTCGATTTTCATTTAAGGAAAAATCCGGGTGTAACACAGTATATCGTTCTATATTTTCGTTGTTCCAGTTCCTTTTTCGTGGGTGCAGAATCAATTGATCGGCAATGGTCACAAATATTTTTAAATGAAGCTGCAGTATTTTCAATACCTTTCGAGTGAAATATTATTAATTTGGAAATTATTTTAAAAGCTTATATTATTTTATGATTTGCTGCCTCAAATAATACTTGATCCAATATTTATTAAATAAAGAGTCATTCAAAATAGTATTATACATTATAAATGACGCACTCTTATACAAAATTTAACCTCTAATTCGTTATTAACTAATTATAGCTTTTCAAAAGCAGAAATTGCAAAAATGTGTCAGTTTTCTTGTATTTTATAACACATTTAAAAACTTCTATTGTGTGCACAGAATAACATCACGATGAACCCACGTGTAATAAATATAGAATGCCACTGAACCGGTAGTACACTCTGAAAAGAGGGATTGAATGTGCACGAAAAAATAAAAAAAAATCTAGAATAAAATTTGCTCGTAATTCACTTTCTATTTGAGAAAATTCAATGTAAATTTCGGCCAAGCACGGATGCTATTCAATAGAGGTTAGCTAACTTGTCTGAATATGATTTATCATTTCTACTTACCATATCCGTGCATACACGTGCAACAGATAATTCTTCAACATCGATTTATTTGAAAATAACATTCTGTACAAGCAAATATTACTCTACATTTTCAATTTATTTTTACATAAAAATCCACTTTTTTAGATTGCACTGCCACATTAAGAACCCCTATTATGAAATAAATAGACTAAAATGTAATTGATTTTGTGAACTACATTACTTTTTGATTGATTAAATTCACTAAGATTCAGCAACATGTAACGTAAAAGAAAATTGTTTAGAACTATTAAAATTATTTAAAACTGTGCAGTTTTTTGCTTTTGAATTTATTGATCGTAAATCAATATTAACGCCTAAAAATTTGTAATTGATTTTAATTGATTTTAATGGATTTAAGCCTTAAATACATAATGTTATCAATTAGCAACACACTCATTGCTTATTTGATTATTTTTGAAAACTCTTGTTGTCTTAATAAAAGAATTTATTAACAAACGCATTTTTTAAATAAAATGAAATGGAAAGGTAATGTTACTTAAAAATTACATCACTTTTTTCAAATTTAATTCATTTAAAGATTGAATGTTCCAATTGGTGTTCCTTAACGATGATTGAGCACAGCGTTTAGTGACGGATTGTTATGCTGTTCCAATAACTTCCCGAGATATAGCTGCGCAAACTCCAATTATTCGAACTCTCCTGTTGTCCAGACTAGTTGTTTCATCAAGTTATTGATATCGCGATAGATTGCTTCAGAAAGCCAATGACAAGTAAACTGCTTCTTGATAACATGTTTATAAACATATGACATTGAACTCCATCAAAAGTAAAACTTGAAAACACGAAAACGTACGACAACTTGGTGTTTCAGTTTCTTTCGACAAGTTACCGTGATGCGATGAGTTACGGTAAAATGATTCCGCTAGCCTTACAGTATCAAAATCTTCATTCAACACTTTGATTATCCAATAAAATCCAGTAAAACTTCTTTATAACGATTACTCTAGTATTTTTCTTATATCTCATATATCCAACAAAATTCTCAGTTCGTTCATTACGTTACCAAGAAAATTAGTGTTTAAGTTTACGTAAATATTTAGTTTATAAAAGTTTTAATTTATAAAAGTGTAAATATTTTAAGTTTATAAAACTTTATGTTAAAAAAATTAACACAATTCAACAGTACAATATAAGTTGTTTCCAGACTTTTATGTAGTCTTATCCATAACGTGTGGAAATCTTGATTATTCTCGACTGATAGTTACAAGAATTTTTATCGCGGTATTTATACTGTGTCTTTGGGGAGGCATTATCTTTCCAAAGACACAAGGGTGCAGTTTCTTCCTGCGGCACCACCTTATTTAGCGGTGGAAAAACTCCCTTATCGCTGACATTTTGACAAGGTGATGAGCATACGATATTTGGGATTTTCCCGGCTTGCGAGTATTTTGTTATGGAGAACTTCGCCTGTGATGGTACGCGCGTGAAACCAATAAAGCAATTTGCCTCTCAACTTGCAAATACCAAAGGAACCTTCTTTCAAGCCTGAACCTTGGCATCTGTAAGCTTTAATCTCAAATTGTTTTTACCATACAAACGATTTATGAACCACATGTTAGGATATATTACTAAATGTTATATTAAATACCTCTATCGTTTACGATTGACTTCATTCTTACGTAAATTACTCTTTTCATAAGTCACTGACATTTTTCGATTTTACTGTTGGACATTTTTGCACTATATTTATCACAATTAGGAGCCTAAAAGATTTTAAACAAAAATTTACACCTAATATTTAAAGATCTAAAATATTTTCAATATCATAAAAGCAAAGAACTACTAAACAATACATTGCAATAGTATGTATTTGCCTATAACTGCATAAAAATCATTTTTATCCAAACAAAGTAGAAAAAGCTTGGAATATTAAGATTAAATTTACATTTTAAACTATATCTACAATATGCGATTGGTTTATTAAATTACGATCAAAATTTATGCACAAAATCCTCAAAATATAGGTTTTCTGTAATAGCAATTTATTATTGATACTATTTTATAAATAATAAAGAAGTTCATTACAGATCGCAAATTGGTAATTTAGTATAGATTTTTACATTACAGAAGTTGTATCAACAAATTGGAATTACAAAAAATTAGAAAATTAGCAGGAAACAAATAGCCAACAAACAAACTAGTAGAAGAAAAGATCAGAAACAACGCCATGGTGTTCCCCACTGAACAGGGTGCTGCTTATCGACCAAATATCGACTCCTGGAACTTCAGTTCGTGAACACTTTGGCGGCAGTAACGCTGATGAGCACCCTCGAATCATTATCTAAAGGGTAGTGCTCGACTTTAAGTGGGTCCCCAGCTTTATTTTTGCGAAAGTAGTTCGGCCTGGTTGCACCTTAAGATTTTGTTGCTCAATTCGTTAATAGAAACTGCCCAATTAAATGGAAAATACGGAAATAATCTGCGAGGAAAATCTACAATCAAAAGATCTAAATGATCCGGATACAAATATATCGGGAAACGAAAAATCATCGATGCATTCTTATGGGAGAAACTTAGAAGCAGCGATTCAAGCTAATTTTTACAAAATTCCTGATATACCCAAAAAATATATTGAACCCATAATTCTCGATACGTCGTTACCCTATGTAAGTAATTCACTAATCAGTAATTTGATAAATAATACTATGCAACTATGTAACTGCAAGATTCGTCTATATACAGTAACGCTTAACTTTTACTTGTGAAATAATTCATCAGAAAACATTATTTTTAGATTCCCCTTTATGCCCACTTAAAAACGTATGATTTAAAACCCGTTAAAAGACCTAAAACTCCACCGCTGTTATATGCGTTACGATCAAAAACTCTGTAAGTATCATTCGAAAAATATACGCAAAATAATATATAGCGAAAAAATTATTGTATCGAATTATATTTACTTTATACAGTAGCAAAGACGATACTGAATCTTGTTTATCTTCTAAAACATCACCCTTAACGGAAGGAATCTATACGAGGGAAAGTTCCGGTACACCGATGTCAAAGGAAAATGGAAAAAGTTTAAAAATAGAATAAAATATCAAAGCGAGAAACTGAAAACTTTAAATCATATTCACATGTGTTTTTAATGACTATACAGTAATAATAAAATAAAAATGAATTAGGAAAAGAAAACTTAAGATAAATATAATTTAATAAAGTTAAGAAAATAACTGTATACATTGTTCAATTATATGACAAAAACAAATTAAATAAATATATTTAATCTTACACTTTAATTTATTAACATTCATAGCTTTCATTAATTTCTTATTTGTTTTTATTTTATATAAACTAAACAATTTCAATGAAGATATTTTTTCTCGGACACGAAACTTATCGTTTCTAAGTATGAAGTATTAGGTTTAATTGGTTTCCACAAATCTGGATTATACTACGCATGAATTTTGTATAATATTATATAATATCCAATTTACTTTTCAAACAATGTTGCATACTTATTGTCAGATGTATTCCCAATAATTTCATTATTTTATAAAATAAATTTTATTCGTACTTTTATGTTTTATTATATATTCTCTTTTATTATGATATACGGGTATATATTTTTGTAATATAAAAATAAATTAAAAATATGTAGGTATTGATATTTATGTTTCAGTTTTAAATCATTTGTTTATTATTCTATATAGTAAACATATACTCTACTAAACTAAAACTACATAAATATATACTCTACGTTTTCACGCAGCGGATATATAATGTGCTCCGATCGTGATGATTTGAATGGAGTAGGCAATTCTTACGCATAGGTTATATCTGAAGTATTTATCTTTCAATTCAATGTCGATTTTTCACAGTTAGTGTAATCACACTCGAAACTGCAACAGACGCAGTTACAGTATGCAACAATGAAGAAACTCAACGAATTAGTCACAATTTACTTCTTACTACAATATTTGTACGGTGTTTGTACAACTCACTTGCTCATAAACGTAAAAAATCAGGTATGATTTGATTAATTCTTGTAAATTTAATTATGTCATCACTTAACAGAGATTAGAATTATTAATAAGACTCTCTTCCACAGGTTAAATTCGAAATAGTTTAGTGTTAAAATAGTTTATGTTAACCTCAAAAATAGTAAAAGTAATAATGAACTTTTCAGTAATGATAAAATTTTTAATTCACAGGGTGGTGATATTCTGTTAGAGACAATTTCATCAAATGTGACTGAAGATGTAATTACTTTAGAATTTCAGTGCTCGGATGGCACTTTGGTGACACAGCTTATTGATTTTAAAAATGTAATTTGAAAATGAATGTTGTATTATTACATATTTGCAGTCATATAATTCAAAATTTTTCCATAGGAAGTACAAATTATAAAAGCCTTGGTTCTTGGTGAAGAAGAACGAGGTCAAAATCAGTATCAAGTTTTATGTTTTGTAAATCATTTTTTCAAAGTGGATTTTATATCTTCTGATGCTATGTCTAAATTGCGACAAAAAAATCCAGGGACTGTTCGTGTAGCGGAAGAGGATAAGGGCCATGTAAACTATACCATGGACTTATTTTTGGATGTTTCTGAATCAAAAGATATTTCTAAACACATTGCTACTCTTTGTGGAGAAGCAGCAGGATCTGCTTATACCAGAAATGAAGACATAAAACAATGGATTCAACGACCTGGTAAGTAAATTTAAAAAGTATAATTAATATATAATTTAATATACTTACAAGTAAACTAACATTTTAATATCAAAAAAGTAATTCGTACAAAAGGTTTTTAAAGTAATTATATATACAATATCATTCATTATCCATTAGGATCATCAGAACTTTCACTTATGGCAGCTGTATACAATGTTAGCACAAATTCTTTAATGCAGCAAGGTACAAATGACTCGAAGCCATTATTTATAACAAGATGTGCAGACACATCAAATATGTGGGCTCCTTGCACTTGTTCATTAGAATTATGCATTGGGTGGTATCCATGTGGTTTGAAATTTTGTAAAGGAAAGAGCGATGGTAAAAAAGCAGCTACTCCATATAAATGTGGTATCAAAACTTGTAAAAAATGTTTTATATTCTCATATTATTCCAAAATGAAACAGAATTGTTTGTGGGATGAATGACATATAAGAACATTGTAGGCATTAAGTTTTGTTTTATAAAGAATTATAACATTGTTTTAAATATGGAGAGGTTTGGGTATCCTTTGGAATGTAAATTGACATTTTTACACCAAAAAGAACTACATATAATACATTTTCATTAATATCTTTTCTAATTTCACTTTTATTATATCGAATTTATTAAACATTTATCGTTCTTATGTTTATAAAATTAAAGAGTTCTTTAAAAATGTATTTCTATTTTCTATGTACGTTTGTTGAATTAGCTAAATTATGAAACCTTTAACTTAATTAGATATAAATGTATAAATTATTTTATATAGTGTGCACTTTTCATAATGCTCATTTTTAAAGGAACATACAGATTCACTTATTACAGGAATATTTCTAAAACTGTTATTTAAACTTTGATATAGCTAAATATCTTTCATTATTTAATAATATATTATTTTCTCCATCTTATACTTTAAAGAAACTAAATTAGGTTAGATTGTATAATTTAAAATCAACATTTAAGAAGTTTTAGATGCATTCTCATACTTAGAAATTTGACTGAATGGATAGATTTGTAACAGCAATATTTGCAACACACTAGAATAATAATTTATATACTCTATGAAAGGAGGGTGTAAGTAATACAAACAAATTTTGAAGAAAAGATACTGCATTTTAAAAGACTTAAATATCATATCTTATAATATATAAATTCCAATTTGACTCTTCATTCTATTACATTCCCAACTTGTCATTTAATATATTTATGGGGAATATAATTATTCTTAAGGTAGTTCACTATGTGCACAATGTGTATTAAAAATAGTATACATTACATATATTCTTATGAATAGGCACATATGGTTGTTTAGTGAAATATAGGTATCCACGTACTTTGTTAAAAAATAAGAATTTCATACAAATAACGTGCAATCGTTTAAAAATCTTTTCACGAGTTTGAAAACGATTGCCTTCTATTCTCGTTTACAGCTGTTGGTTAAAAATGAGTTAACAGTGAGAACAGCACGAGTTACAAATAATCCATTCAGGGTATTATAAAACCCTCTGTATCTAATTTACCCACGTCTGATGCTACAATGCATTATGCGTGTATGTAAAGAATTTTATATATGACATATAAAGCTGCCACTGATTCGTGTAAGTTTCAGTTCTATATGGTGCAGGATATTAATTGTACTATAGAGTTTGAACATGAAAGTATTTGAACTTTAGTAATTGTAGATAACGATATCAGAATTATATTAACAAAGTTTGAATACTATACCACTTACAACATATTTTATGCAAATACAGAGAAAAGGCTACAAAAATATTTAAACAGTAAGTTATTTTTTGTTTTCAGATTGTTTGAGTAATAATGTGTACAATTTCACTTTTCAGAAATATTTCTTTCCTTACAAAACATATATTCAATTTATTCAAACTTTGCTAATACAATTCTAATGAGTCTCACTGTAGATTTAGAATATATTACACTATTGCATTTAATTTACATATCTTATTAACTAAAAGTGTTAAATTACGAACATTCCAATACTTTCATGATTCAATGATAATTCAAATACAGGAAGCACATACCTAAATTAGATCTGTATATAAAAACTCCTGTTAAAAATTAAGTTGTGTACAGTGTGTATCATAAAAATTGCAATATCATTCATGTGAGTGATACTATCAATTTGTGTAGAGCTTGTGTTTACTGTTTATACAGAAAAAATTGCTTTGTATTTAAAAGAGAGGAATGAGAATACACATCTCATAGCAAATCGCTATAAACAAGACTGCAATATCTGTCCAATTTAACAATAAACTTAGATTATATACATACACACAAGACACAGTCTTCGCGCTTCCTTATAAACGCAAATCGTATCTAAAGAAATTTCGAATGTAAAAGAAATAATTGCATATACTTACTCTTTTAATCAAATATCTACAAAGTTTGTACCACTGAAATGTAAAGGGCAGATGATAATGCTACAAAGTCGATGGTAGTTTTAGGTATCGCTTAGAAGCTGTATTTGTTAGGAGAACATAAGCGACACGTCGTTCGTCACGAATTTTGTTAAATACATATGAAAATAAGCCGTAGTGATTATTCGATGGAGCAATTTGTACGTGGACTGGAACGAATTACATTTGTAAACAGCAATATAAATTTGTATATATATATATATAATCAAGTTATATACACGTATAGTCACTGGGTGAATTGTAGATTAATTGCAAAATGTTAAGATACTGTCATTAGTACTTCGTTAAATTATGTGTTATTAATATGCATGTTTAAATTGTAAGAGAAACATACATGAATAATGAGGGTATAGTTACTAATTTTAAGATGGTCCAATGCGAGGGAAATATTTCAAACAATTGTTCCTGTTTAAAGGACTTACTCATTCATTGTTAATCTTTTGTGAAACAAAAAAATGAACGTACTGATTTACCATGGTAACATTAAAAACCGGGTTGGGAGAAATTTCGTTTTCGGGTAGTGAATGTGATTGTACAATAAGGAAAAGAGTGGGGATGCGTTGTAGCGTCTAAATGTTTTCTATCGACACACAGAATAAGAATTCGATGTAACACACCGAGTATGATTTCAGCTTTACACATAACATTGTAATTTATACACATATTTTTTATATATATATATATTTAATAAAAAGAATTAATAAATAATATGGATGTTTGATCATATTTATCATACACCTTCTTAAACGTCCTTATCGTATCTTTAAATAACAGATTTAAAGCGCGAATCACTGTCTTTCACACGGTCCAAAACGGTTCACTATAATATTTAAAACTTACGAACTTAAATATATAGTAACGCTTCGAAAAATTTCGAATTGACCAATTGAATATTTCAAATTGGGGTGATCATTCCTTGTTCGAAGACAATCTTTTCCTGTTGCTGGTGAAATGAAAAATAAAAATTGTTTCATTTTTTATTAATAAGATTTTGATGTCTTAGCAAACAAAGTTACACTGCTGAAAATTAATAAAATAGTACGGTCCTTTCTTTAGAATTATTTTATAATGCTTTACAATTATTACTTTAAATTGGAAAGAAAACCTCAATATAAATAAATATTGCACGAAAACATGAAAAATAAAAAATCTTTATGTTCGTAATTGTTGCAAATATACTGTAAAACATTCGAAATTTTTGAGGCATTGCTGCATAACAAGTAAAATCGAAATTCAATCAGAATGGTCGAGAAATGCACGGGACTATATGAGTTGATAATTATTTCTATTAAGTACGATACAATAGTTATAATAATTTAGTACTTTCCCGGCGTTCATTACATTCATCTAAATTCCATTTCTTATAAAGTATTCAAATTTAATATCGAACGATAAAATATCCTCGTTTATTGCCACGCTACGTGTAATTATATGCTACATAAAAATAGTAGAAGAATGAAAGTAGAAGCTTATGCGAGTAAAAAATTCTTTCCTATTTATAACGCTACATTTACAATGTGAATTTCAATTCAGTCGGCGGAACAAGAGGAAAGTAAGAGATCGTGCTTATACACATGTGATGGTGAATGAAACAAAACTTAGTAGTATACAATTGCTAAAAACAAGGTACTTCGATAATATCTTCATCGCTGAACATAACAATTTTTCAGTAAGTACTTTTCGTGTGAGTGTGGTAACATTTAACTGACGGGATTACAATTAATCAATAGTTGAATGAGGTTCAATTTTGTATAATTTAAAGAATCTGGAGTAAAAGAGGAATTTTTATATTCTATGAAAAATTCCATTAAACTGAAAGTAATATAAAAAAACTTAATGAGCTACGCTTTTTAATAGAATACAGCAACAGATAAATAAACGAAAATATTTCCTATGAGATTTTGAATTTTCGGTTTCGTATGACTACGGAGTTATAAATAATATACAGCAATTATGTTATTAACTAAATTTCATTATGTTCATTAACACAATTTCGATTTCGAAATTACGAATTCTTCTATTTCATTTTAAACGGAAACATATATATCGTAAAACTGAACGAGGGAGTGTTTCGAAGACACGTCATTTGATTTGTTACATTGTAGAACGTAGTTAATAAAGTATAGTGTACATACTTTATACTACAATATTGTATTTTTCTTTTATTTGAAAAATAAGTTACATTTATTAATGAGTTGTAAGTAGGTATACCTATAGAGTACAGTACAACAATGATAAATAATAAAGTTCTGCTCTATTTGCGACAATTTCAACATTTGTATATCAACGAAGATATCTTGCCACGTATATTTTTTGAATTTTCTACGAGGAACTGAATATATTATTGCACCCGCCAGTTAAGCGTTAATATACTGCAAAAATATATACATTTTAAGTTTTCGTTCCTTACGTATATTTTCCATGAATATTATAAATAAAATGACTAAATGTCACGATTTAAAGGCTAAAGATGGATTCTTTTTTAAATCTTAATGAATACATAAATTAACCTGTCTTAAGTAGCTTGCCATTGAATCAATCATTGTAAGAAAAATTCGTACACTGGAATTCGCTACGGAAATCGTTTCAACGATTCATCTTTCGTACGGAAATATATTGATATGTTCTAAATATACAGTGCCATGCGGTACCATGAGTGCATTGGTAGACAAAAATAACTCAACAATAGTGTCGCTGGTTTCGGCGGTCCACAGCTGAAAATGATGGTACTTGTGACACAAGTGGATATCACCAAAAGTTTCTGCAAAATAACATTAACTGTTTACGTTTTCTTTTTTATTGACACTTTTTGCTGATGATACTCTACAATTTCATTAAACACTAACAAAAATATTTTTCAAAATGAAACTGTATTGTAGTAAGTAATTTTATAATTGTCGTTATGCATCAGTTAGTAGTTTCAAACTGTTGTCATGTGACTTCGTTTGATATTTCATAATATTAAGAAAGCTGGTTTTTCTTTTCATTACAGAAATAACAATCGAAGTGTACGTATTATTGGAATTCGGGACAGCAGTACAGTAACCAGTATTGTGGCATATGCTTGCTTTACTGAATTAATAAATATATAACATTTATCGAAGAACATATGTTTGCAGAAACTTACGGTGCGATCTACATAAATTAGATAAACATTATTAGTAAATTTTTTATTAGGATATGTGTATCCGAAATTTTTGTTTTTCATATGCATATATTGGAAAAATGTGGAATTATAATTATGTTGAACATTATTTAGCATTCACTTTGAAATGATTTTTTTTTATTACGTTAACAATAAAAATAATTGGGGAGAACTTCATGTAACTTCAAAATTTGATTATATCAAATTTATTTTCTGAATAAAAAATAGTAAGAAACTTTGAAAAATTATGAATAATATATAATGTTTGATTATTTTACAGAAATTAGGGTTACAAGAATTTTAAAATAATCCAAACAGTATTATGTTTGGACTCATTTTCATCAGGAGAACTTCAATAATTTTTTACCAATGTTTTAATGCAATTACAACGAAAAATTTGAATTTCATTCGATTACCGTGTGACTCATTTCAAGCATCTATATTATTTCCCCGTTTCCGACCGTGAGAAGTCCTAAATCGCAAGCAAGGAGCGCCTTCCTTTCACAGTCAATCAAGCGTTATAACGACCAAGGTAATTCTGACGTTTATAGACTGTCCTCGTAATTAAGGGATTAAAATATTATACATTTTTATTTTCATTTGAATCGATTTCAACCGTAACTTTCTATAAATATCGATTAACAACGTTTCCGAGAAAAATTGAGTTGCCGGAAAGTTTTTATGGATTTCTAGTTTAGTAGTGATATAATATATTTAAGTGGTTACATACATCCGAGGAAGCTAAAAAAAGGTTTGTTTTTCAAAAACATCAAACATCAAAGATTATCTTGCAGAATAGAATTACAAATTTTTTTAAAATGATGATTTCATGTAAACAGAAGCAAAATTAAAGTAAACATAAGTCACTTTCAGAACTTTAAATTCATTTTTCTAGAAACAAGATTTCCTAGAATTAGTAAAATTTGTGGAAATTGTCAATTTGTCCGTAATTTCAGAGCAAATCACAGTGACAGCAATTGAGCGTAGCTTTTCGAAGACCGCACTCTTTTTATATACATCCCGGATATACGTATACAGAAAAAAATAGAATTTTGTTTTGAAATATTTCTGTTTAACTATGTTGAATTAATTCTGTGCCACGAAATAAACAGCGAAAATTTTGAGCAACATCATGCTTTGCCAAACGCGAATAATTGTTCTTATATTAAAATTGCATTTACTCTGCTAAATTGCATCATATCATTTTTTTTAATTTACTTTTATTGCCAAGAAATATTTTAAGTACGCGTTTGAAATGAAATATTTTATTTTAAAATGTCTTATATAAAGTATAAAGTGTCTTATAGTATATGAGAAGTACTGTAAATGAGTGAATATATAAGATAAAATGGACAAAATAGATTTCATATAAACGTATGCCCATCGCGACCTTGTTTTTGAGTTACAATAATTTTTGTGTTATACTAATTACACTGTGGAACACGATTTTTGTTTTGTAATAGCCACTAGGTGATTCTTATAGCGTTCTTTGCCCTAAATACGAATTCGAAAACCAAATTATTGGTTCACGTCCAGTTTTCGAAAAAATTAGGTTTTTGGAAACACATATAAAAATTTTGAATATTGCGTGTCATTAAATGTTTGTAAATGATGATAAAAGTTTGAAAAACGGATGCGCGTACTTTGTACGCATTTCTGTTAAGCTGATCGTGAAAAGCCGTTTCATAATTATTATGAAAATTTATAACACAATTAAACATTATATATACATATAAGAAGTGACCGGAGTCCAGGTCCCCACAGCGCGTACTCACGGCCCTGAATAGCTGTGGCCAGCGAACGATGGCTGTGTGGCGCCAAAGTTCTGTGCACGCACTCTTCACGGAGATTTTCTTAACCTGCCCGAAAGAAAAAGCGTTCTCACACTTCCCGCGGGCGGTTCCTCTTCAGAAATGTTTGCAGACTCCAGTGGTGTGTAGGAAATTCATGCTAGCCAACCCACTTTTCCTAGAAATGTAACAGAAGCGCGTACAAAGTACGCGTAACTACCCTTCTTTAAACTTTGATCATCATTTACAAACATTTAATGACAGGCAATATTCAGAATTCTTATAGCTACATATTCGGGCAACTTTCCTCTATTTTTTACGATAAATTTTAATTGCCTATCGTTTCTAGTTTTCACGTAACACTTGTTTCTCTGAAAAATTCGACTGTGTTTACAAAAACCCATTTTTTTCAAAAACTGAACGTGACCTAGCAATTTGGTTTTCGGATTTGTATTTTGGGCAGGGAATTCTATAAGAATCACCTAGTGATTATTACAAGACAAAAGAAGTTTAAATTTGTTCCACAGTGTTATTGTTTTGTTTCCATAAAAATTACTTTACTAAGAACATGTACTTTAATTCTAGTACACCTAGAGTTTAAAAACAGACGTAAAAATGTCGCATCATAGATTGTTTACTTTTTATCTATTTATTTAGAACTGCTTATACATTAGTCTTAAATCTTTCGAATAAATACTGATCAAATATCCAATTATATTATGGCCGTATGTAAAACCAACGTACACTACATAAACTATAACTTCGAATTATACATTAAATATATAACTTTCTTATTAAGAAAGTTTATAATATTCATAATTTTGTTTTATCACTTCAAAACTTCAATATTCCGTATAAATGAATATGTTCAATTAACACATATTCAACTGAACATTTTTTATTGGTTTTATATCTTGAGTCCACTTCAGTCCTGTATTCCCACTTCCCATATACTACGAAACAATTTGTGTAGATTGTATTTTAAAAGTTAGTTATGTTTTATGTCAAATGTTTCAGTGTCGTTTGTTTTTTAGTAGAACATTTTTTTATTATTTATAGTATCCATAATTTTAGTAAAAACTGTTGGTATATTAGTTTAACATTTCAAACATCATTCATTGATAATTCACTCATGTTCAACCTTTTTTATTCCATTAGCAATTTATAGTCACATTTTTATAACATCCCTGTTATAAAAACGAAAAAGTTGTGTGATAGTTCTACATGGCAAATATAGTTTCTACGACTGTCAGATCGTAAAAAATATTAAGTAACCGAGTAATTTTAATCAATAAACACGTTTGACTAACTATATTTTCGATATACAAAAATTTCAGATAATCACATATCCCCATGTTTATAAAAAATACGACTTCACCCGCATATATTTTCTAAGAGATTCACTTTACTACAAATTCATTGTTATTTAAATTATACTCGGTGGAAAAAGCATAACAAGATCAACAAAAAGTAATTTTATTTTTCTCTAAGTTTTCTCATAAACAGAATTGTCTGTCTAACATAACAACGACTGTGATATTTTTAACCATATTCTCTATGATTTTGTGTTTCCACAAATAGGGTAAACGATTTTTTATGGAGCTGGTCAAGATTAGCATTACGTTTTACTAACAAGTTAACAAAAAATCAATACAAAAATATAAGAAAAGAAATTGTCAAAAAGTATTACAATGAAAATATGCATACCGTGGTTACGATAATCTTTTATCGAATAAATGAATAACCAACGTTTCGTATATTTCAATAGGTGAAATTAAATACATAAAAATACTCATTTGTTATAAGAATAATTCCCAATAAAATAAGATCACTTTTCAATGGATTATTTTTATACCAAGAAAATTTTACCCACCAGATAATTTCGATCACTGTACACCACGGACGTTAAAAAAACGTGCAATAAGCTCTAAACAACATCCCGATGTTCATTCCCAATTCTCGAGCTTTACATCAATATTAAATGCATTCCTGCCAAAGAAAAATATTTAACAAAATAAAGTATAATAGTATATTGCTTGAAATATTTGTGTCTTAATCACAGCAACCAGAGAATTTTAATGTCAGACCATGCAAGTACGTGCTCAAAGAAATTGTTTCATATATTGCTCGAGTGTCTTTGGTATCTCGCCATATTCCTTCCACCGAGTATAGGGAATTAACGTTAACGACAATCAGCACCGGAGGATGGTACGGAGTACGAAATGTGTATAAGCACCGGATTCCTTGTGAATGCTATGTATACCTACGATTCTTGGTACTACAGCCATAAAATAAGTCGCCCGTACGAAAAAGAAATGTCTAGGGGAACACTAGCTACTGTAACATGTCTTGCGCACGTCGGCAAGTATTACACTGAAGTCGTCGTCCGCTTTCGACACGTGCTCCATGCTCTGAGATTGCTGAGGTTGCTGTTGTTGCTGTTGCTGCTGGGACGGGTGCTCGGAATACTTCGCCACGTCCATGTTCTGATGATACTGTTCCATCGTGTGGCCGATTCCGACGTTAGAACACCGAGTATCTTTGCTTTGATCGTCAACGATGCACTGAGAGTTCGACATGTCCATCTGGGACTGTTGCGGAGCATAGTAGCGCAAATCGCTGGCGTAATTGTGATTACTGTCGAGCAGATTCTGTGATGACAGGCTGCTGTGAGCCACGCTGGTCGGGTGAGAATATTTGAAATACTTCTCCAGTTGAAGCGACTGTTGCTGATCGTCGTCCGCGGACATCCCCGGATCCATGTGCCCCAGAATTGGATGCTGTTGTCCTGTGTTGGTAGCTTCGGACTGGTACTCTTGGTGGTGGCTCATTTGATACCGGTGCGTCACGCCTGAAGCGAATAGAAAAATTATAACGAATAAACAACCGAATAAAAGGGTGAATAAATAAATTAATGGAAAAGTAAATAAAAAAGTGGATAGAAAAGTGAATAATATATAATAAATAATCATATAATTAAAGCTTGCCAAAGAAAACGTAAGTATTAGAATTCTTAATTAGTCCCTTTACGAGGACATTTTAAATACAATATTAAAATCTTCGAGTGCAAAGGTTTAAATATCTATGATCTGGCGGGAATACTTTAATACAACAATTAAATGCAATTTTCCTTTGTAAGTAGTTATTAATAGTGACAAACGGCGACGTAAGTAACTGTTGTATGTATCGATCAATTTTTTCTTGCTTTTATCTATTCGATGTTGCCAATTATATAATGTGTATACTTTTGTAGTGTATCCCATTTAGAAATAAAAACAAAATATTTTTGACTTACTATATAAGTAATGTATGAGAATATTTTTAGAAAAAAATGTTGGGTACAAAAATACGCGAAATAGAATATTAAACAAATTTTCCGATTATTGAAGGAGGAATTGAGAAACATCCTACGAAAGTGGACCTGATAATATAAAACAATAATCCATGCATCGATAATCAAAAGTAAATATAAGTGTTATTATCCCGCAGTAAATCTTAGCGTTAAAAAACAATACTTATGAAATGATCTATTAGTCCCATGCTTGAAAATTCTTGACCAGCCTTTACGAAACATAATAGGCTTGCCGAGGCAACGCTACAGCTTTCATTAACGGTAATAATATGTGTAGAAACCGCATATAACATATAAAATGAAAAGATTAATAGAAGTCAAAGATAAAAGTGTATACTTGGAAATAAAATCAATGAAACGAGAAATAGGAGAACCGAAGTAAATCTGCATGTCCGTGTTTACTGGCACCTATCCAAGCGTGGCAATCTGTTCGTAAGGAAAAATGAATATAGTATTACCGGAACAACCTTCAGCAGCTCCGCGAAGCCCCATTGATTGTTGTCGGTTGGCACACTGGACAGGATTATAGTTACTCTCAACAGTAGACTGCATGGAATAGTTGGCAGTCTTCGAGGATTGGGTGCTGGTGTAGTGTTGCAACGACTGATCGTGCGGGGATGCGACCGGTGGATAAAAAGTGCCCGTCACAGAGCCAACGTTTTCGAATCCAGAGCGCAATTTGTTACATGACACCATCATTCCGTTCGCTATGCCAACTGCAGCTATGCTCGATGGTTGCCTTTCGAAATTTAGGTAATTCACCTAAAATATAACGAAAATTTCGACTCGGATTATGTTACAGTTATATATATTTACATCTTCGGTCAACCCATTCGCTGCCGGGGAAATTAACCCCTTGCCTTATGACTTTATTACCTTAACTATGATCGATACGACTACTTTATCGT